AACCGAGTCAGTTGGTGTTTCCTGAGAACTCCTTTTGGATGGCTTACTGCTTCATTTAAGTTTAATGTGTTCTTTTAAATTCTTTAGGTATCTTTGCAGAGCTCCTCAGTTCCCTAGTGTAAACCTATCACTTAATCCAAGCTCTTTCAGTAGGCCTAGGTACAGTGTTTAGTATAAAATAATACAGAGAGTGATTTATGGTAAGTGTTAGAGATGGAATGATAGAGCTGTTGGGGCAGCAAATTAGGAAGATGACCTGTGGTCAAATAGACAGCAAATGCAATTGTAATTTTAAGTTTAGATTGACACAAACTTGAATGATGATATCTGAAATCCTTATGTAGATGAAGACAATTGATATCAATAAATATGAGTTTTGGCTCTCCTGTATCCTGGTCCTGTAGACTCCCAGTTTTTCCTTGAAATGTAACTGTTGAAAAAAGGGCAATTTTGCTTAATTTATCTCATCAGCAATTTTCCTGTGCGCATTTCTTTGAAATTATTCAACTTCTACCTACTTCTGTATTTGCTTTAATTTTCATTCTGTAATCCCATCATTACGGTTTCCATATGTTTCATATCACTGTAGCATATGGATTTCTGTATTGAAGTTCTTTAATTTACTCATTACAGTGAATGATTAAAGTGGAATTTTGTCCCACTTAGCATGAAAATTCAGTCTCTTTGGGGTGGGTTCCTTAGCCGTAGCCTCTTCTCAGATAATTCCTGGTGGTCCAAATGGTGTTCTTTCCATCATGTTTTCACTTCTGTTGCTCTGTGCCACAGATTTGAAGGCTCTTCCCTTTTCTGTAGATCTAGCCTTCTACGTTCATATTTCTCCACTCCAAGACCTACAAAGTGGAGTTTGTGGATCATTTCACACTTAACCTCTTTCAGGAATGGCAGGTGTACATTACCTTGGGTAACAGTTAAAGTTTCCAGCATTTGAATTGGGTGGCTCAGTGTATAAATCAACAAACATGTTTGTCTTTTTCAGTTTTCAGATGTAAGTAGTTTGAACAAGTTAATATTTACATTTCTATTGGCACCAGGGTCAGATTCTAATCAGCACTCTAAATAAAAGGGCACATGGTCACAAACTGAAATAACACACTTTGGGATCAATAAGATTTGTCTGTCAGACTGATCTCTTGCAGAGGAAAATGAACTTCTCTGTATTTGATAACAAGCAGATGAGTTGGCAAGCAAGGGAAACTGGCACTTCTTCAAACAGTGCTTCTGCACACACTTGTGGCTTTGCCAGAGATGGATATTGGGCTACATCAGTGGCAGCAGTCACCCAACAGTACTTTTGCACACTTTGGTGCCTTTTGTCATTGCTGACAGGAGTGGAAAACACTTTTGTGAGGCTCCGGGGTGCTGTGTGATGTGATAGTCCCAAAGCATGCAGACATCTGTGACTTCCATTAGCCTCTGCCAGTGGCAAAAGGTTTGGGAAGCAGTTCTCCTTCCAGAACTGCTGTGGAAATCAGGAAAAAGCAACATTTGCAAGTCTTGACTCTTGTATCATGTTGAGAAGAGGCAAGCTGTTGAGCAGTTCCTTGGTAAAAGCTGGTGAGATTCCCAGCCAGGTCTTGTTCCAAAGGAAGTCACTGAGAATTTGCCTCTAACTCTGAAGTACCTTTTCCTGCTTTACAACTTCCATGTTGTTTCTTACCCATGTTTAGCATTTCAAGCTGCAATAGAAATGAAATGCCAGTAGCTTAAAGTAATTCTGTAATAATGAACTGTAGTGTGTTTATGGTGGAGAGAAGAAATTTAAATGTGATATTACATTTCTATTCCTATCTTTCAAGGATTCTCACTGGAGCTCTATAGCTGTGTTGTGAGAAAAGGGAAAAACATGACATGCAGATCTTCTGCCACAGATGTGAAATACAGCTGAAGTTTCTTGCCAGACATGTGGAGGTTGCCTCCTGTTTCAGACAAACCTGGTCTGGGTGACCCATGAACCCTCTGTGTTGAGGGAAAGTTTCACATAATTTGAATTCATAAGGCAGCTGGTGGATTGGGCTGATTTCTCCTGGAGTTCTCAAGCTTGTTCAAACTCACAGGCTCACAAGTCAATGTGAATTAAAATTCTGCCCTGAAGGCCTTGAATGGCAACTTCGCTTAGAAATTAAATTGCCAGGCTTCACCATTACGCTTCTAAATCAATTCAGTGCTGTTTGAAAGGAGAGTTGACTGAGCTCATGATAAGATCCTGATGCTGGCTTTTTCAGCATTAACCTTACAGCCTTAAAATACAGTGGGCTTGATACTGCAGCAACTGGGAATTACTAAGAAGTGGAAAATTAGAACTGTGTCAGCAGTTAGAGGTCTGGTTTCTGGGCACAGAAAGAAACTGCACTGGTGAGGAAGAAAAGTATCCAGCTGGCTTTTGGGATAGTGATGCTGCAAAGGAAATTTGCCCTTTATTATAGAGACTGCATGGAGCCTTGAGAGGGCTTGAGTGGTTACAGGTAGATTAGCAACAGGAGAGGGAGCTCTCACTGCGTTCCCAAAGAGGAGGGAAATTCTGGGCTTGGGAGCAGGCCTTGATGAAGAGTCCTGCGCTCCCGCTGCTCCCTGTCAATACCATGTTGGCAGCTACTCTTTCATATAGGCAAGACCAGTGGAGAATGTGCTTGTCTGAAAAAAAAAGGCAACCTGTGTCCTGTTCCCACATCTCTCCAGCTGTTCTTCCCCCCCCCCTCTTTGTACCATTAACTTAAAATACCAGTGTCCTGTTCTTCAGCTACTGTGAGTGTTCTCTGAGATGTCAACTTTAGAAAGGAGGGATAGTAATGTTCCACATATATTCTCACTATCTTTTGTAGTAGGAGCAAGAACTGGTGCAGGTGAGAATAAAGAATTCCTTTCCAGTGCAAGCAGAATGAGCAAAATTGAGATATTGGTAAAGTAGTGTCATTTAACTGGTATTTTAAAGAGTGGTTGCAACTAGGAAGCTTATAAACACTAAGAAATTCAGGTACGTGGCAAGGAACAGAGAAGTTTGGGGGGTTAGTAAGCTGTAGATTTCTCTAAAACCAAAATCCACCTCCTCTTGTGTTCATTTACACTTAAATATCTCTCAAACTAATGTTTGAATGGCTTTCTGAGTGAAGGGGAATGCAATTCTCCCTATTTGTAGATGGGAAGTAGAGACACAGAGAGTAGGTTTTGCAGGGGAGAGGAGGGATTGTTTCAGCACAGACATGCAATGTTAGTGGTAGGAAGCAGGCTTGCCCTGGTTCAGAAGTGGTGTCAACTCTAGGTTATGTCCCAGAGGATGTACCCTGCACTTGGTGTATCAGTTCAGACACAGTGCCAGCAAGATGCTTTTCTGGCTTCCAGTCCAGAACTTGTTTGCATCTGGGATGAGTGAACAGATCTCTCATCTCAAGGCACCCAGCTGTACAGATATGTTCAAGTTACTTTTTAATGTTCACAGGGTGAAGAGTGAATACATTCAGTTCTCCTTTGACCTGCATAAGTGCTGGTTCAACTGATTAGCATCTATCTTTATTGGAATGGACATGGTACTGGCCTTTATGCACCTGTTACTGTAAATCTTGCTGTGCCTATGATGCTAACTTGGATAATATCAAAATAATTTAGGCAAGTGCTTGGGGTTTTGCTTGGCTTTTGTTTGTTTTGAATAGGGAAGATGCTAGCCCTCTTCTGCTTGAATTACTAATCAAAGGTAACCAAGTAAGTTGACTGTGGGCTCTTAAAATATTGCGTGAATTTTTCTCCAGAGGGTTTTGAGTAAAAGAAACTTTCTCTGAGAGACTGTTCTTTATATTCTCTATAACACCAAATAAATCTTTGCTTTCAGAGTGTATGTTGGTGTCTCTATACTCATGACACATTTGGCTGGGGTTTTCCTCCTTAAATTCGTTGTATCAAAGCAATAACATAAATCTAAGTTTTTATTCATCAGCTTCTCTCCAAGTTTTGTAATTTGCTAGAATTAAATTGGGAATCTGGGAATAATATATGATCATAGATACAGTGCATATCATGCAGGCTTATTTCCAGAATGTCAGTAGAGGGTTATACTAAATACTTTTGTTTTATATGATTGCAAAGATTCTTTTGTAGCTTGGGACATTGAGTCTAAAAGCAAGAAATGTGAGAGGTATCTGGCAAGAGAAGATAACATGAATTTAATTCTAGCATTGCTACTGTTCTTTACTATGTTCTGATTGGCCAGGAAGATCTGCAAAAAGAGTCTTGGTCATGACTGTATGACTTTGAATACCTGTCAGGGAGAAGAGCAATCCAGGGTCACAGTGCTTTAAACACTGGCAGTTGGGTCTCAGGAGAGGCTGGATGTGTTGCAGTTACCGGAGTGGAGAAAATGTAACTTAACTGCAGTGAGACCAATACTTTTTTTCTTTCTTTTCAGCTAAACTAAGTTCAGTTTAGGTTGGTCTTTAAAGATTTATTAGACAGTGGCAAACAAATGACAAGCAGGTAGTGTTTGTATAAGATGACACTGTGTGTATGATACTCCTTTCCCAAATAGTTGGAAAGCTTCAGCCCTGCATTCATGTATTAGTCATTTCAGCCATTCAGGAATGAATTGTGGATCATCAGTACACATATTTTCTTTTAGATAGGGGTCACTGCAGGACTGGGCTGAGATTTGAGTAGCTGCACACCTGATCTGCTTTTGAAGGTGCACCTGTGCTAGCTGTACAAATATACATGCACTTGTGTATTTTTGGGCCTGAGAAATCCCTGCTTTATACCAGAGAGTTCATAATATTTGGCAGGATGTACGGACTATGCCAGTAAAGAATTATTTGTGATATATGAATATATATTATGTTTATATGTATTGTTGCAGTTTTAGCTGTTTTAGTTATGCTGTCTGAAAGATGACAAGCTTGTCATGATTTTGGCTTCTAAGAAAGATTTATTCATTTTCAAAAAATATTTTACGTGGTCACTCAATCCAGGCTGATTCCAAGCCCGGGCACTTTAGGGGGATGTTCTGTGACTATTCAGGAGGGTCATGCAGAGGTCAAGCATGCTTCATTCTAAGAAACTATTTTACAATGCAGAGGTCAGGCATGCTTCATGCTAAGAAACTATTTTACGCAGATTTGGGAATAATACTGTTGTTCGTGGTTCCACACAGATGGTACCAGACAGGAAGAAGTGGAAGGGGAACTCAGTGAAGAAGAACGCTGGTTTGGAAATTCTTCAGAAACTCCTTCAGAAGCATCATATGGAGAAGTCCAGGAGAACTTTAAGTTGTCTCTCGAGGACAGAATCCAAGAGCAGTCCACTTCCCCGGATACCTCTTTGGGAAGTGCAACGCCGAGCAGCAACGCAGCGGAGCTGGGATCCATTGAAAATGAGGCACTAAGAGACACGTTGCAGAGCAAAGAGCACCTTTCTCCTGATGTGTCATCTCTGTGTGAAGAAGAGCCTCCTGGTCCAAATAAGCCACTGAGCAGTAACCTGAGGCGGCTCCTGGAGGCTGGCTCCCTCAAGCTGGATGCCGCTGTTACAGTCAATGGCAGAGTTGAGTCCCCCGTAAACCTTGGCTCGAACGTCTCCTTCTCTCCACCTGCTCATCACGCCCAGCAGCTGAGTGTTCTTGCCAGAAAGCTCGCTGAGAAACAGGAACAAAGTGACCAATACAATGCAAGCAGTCACTTTATATGGAATCAAGGTAAGTGGTTGCCAAACTCAACCACCACCTGTGGTTTGTCCCCTGATTCAGCTATCCTGAAACTGAAAGCCGCAGCCAATGCCGTTCTGCAGGACAAATCTTTTTCGAGGACTGAAGACCCCATAAGATTTGAATCCTTTTCCTCACCTTTCAGTTCTCAGTCAGCCAGCTCCACGTTAGCAGCTTTATCTAAGAAAGTGAGTGAAAGAAGCATGACTCCTGGGCAGGAGCACCCGCCTCCGGCGAGTTCTTTCCTTTCTCTGGCTTCCATGACCTCTTCAGCTGCCCTTCTCAAGGAGGTTGCTGCAAGGGCTGCAGGCACCCTCTTGGCTGAGAAGAAGAAGTCGCTGGTTCCCGAGGATCCCCTGCAGCTTTCGGAGATGAAACAAGAGAAAGCAACTCCGCCACAGTCTTTGGAATTATTGTTACTACCAGTCCCTAAGGGAAGAGCATCCAAACCCACTAGTACAGGTATGAATACAATTTGAGCCACTAAATAGAATGTATTTGTTTTGCTATAGGCTTCTATAACATCTCTTCAATGGGTCTGGATTTGGTTTGATTCCATGTCTTATGAGAATAAGAAATAGATACTTTAGGTGAACAATAGAAAAGCTTTTTAAGATACCACTTTGAGACCAAGCTGTCACAAATTTTTCCATATTTGAAAGATAGGAGTGTACAGTTCAGTAATTTTTTTCTCTTTTATTCCATACAATAGTATTTTCTTCTCTTACCAAGTTTAGAATAAGTCCACAAAACATTTAATAGAGAAGATCAAAGAATCCCTGTTAGGGAGCTCACAGTATCAGTGAGCATGTACAAAACTAGTGCTTTTGAAATACTGGACAAGGGAGAATTCTCCCTCCTGCTGTCTCTGTCACAAATGGACTTTTGTATAATCGCTTACTACCCTGTCCTAATTTACCAGAGTATATTATTATGTTGCCACTTTTCATTAAATTTTTTTTACAACCCTTTGTTGTTAACAAGCAAACCCCAACTAAACTGCATTTCTCTAATTTGCTCAACGAGAACCATTTTACACTTCTGACTTCCCTCCACCAGTTCCAGCTGTTGACGGTCAAGGAATGAGGCTCATAGGGAAGAAGAAGAAGAAACTCTCTGGGTAACAAAAGCTTTAAAGAACTGACAAGCCATGCAGGGGGATTTAAATGATCCATCTTCAAACTAAGGAATAATAATTTTTCTTTCATCTCTTTCTATAAAAAGTTCCCATCATGGATTCATATTTCTGGTAGAACATATGACTTCAGGTCATCAGTGTTCTCCCTGGGGTGGATTTCTGCTGCAAAGGGAGAAGAAGCGTGGCAGCCATCTTCACCAGATGCACGATGTGGTTTAGTATATTAGAGCTTTGTCAGGAATACTAGCTTGCCTGTGCAAGTGTAGCAAGGCAGTGTACAGGTATGAAGCCTGACATGGATGTTACATAATTGCACTGCCTTCTCTCTTGACCTAACCTTTTTCTTTAGGGGTATTATGAGGTCTGATCTGTCCCTGTGCAGCTCAGGTCAAAACTCATAGGATAGAAGCTATTGGATGGAAAGCAATGCTCATCCCTCCCTTGAAAGAGAAGAGGGAGGGATGCAATAAGTTGCAGCCAGAACCAGTTTTTTGCTCTGTGTTACATGTGTTCTGCAAATGCTTTGCTGGTGTGCTTTGCCAAGGCCATTAAAGTGGCAAACTATTCTTGGCATGGATCTAGCCTAAGGTTTTCATTAGTTTAGATGAAGTCCTTTTTGGGCTAGCATAAGCTAAACCAGTAAAAGGTCCTTTCATGTGGGAATAGGAGTACCCACGCTGGCTACACCAGTGTGACAGTAGTCATTAATTTAATGTAACTCTCCCCACAAAGACTGGCCTTCATATAAGAAAGGCAGCAATGTATAGAAAGGAAGTAAGGTTAAAATTTATTTGAAGCTCTTACTTTATTTCCTGCAAGGGGAAAAAGTTGTTCACATCATAAGTTTTTACTGGGGAAAAGTACATGGTTATAGTAAAACCCAGGCTTTGTGTTTGACCAAAAAACTGGGATTTGTCTGTGCACCTTGTACTAGGGGAGTGCTCTGTTACTGATGTGCCTGTTAAGTACTGGCACTGTACAAACTAGCTCTGATGCAGCAAATTTCAAGAAACTATTCTCTTTGCTGAAGGCCCAAGCATACTGTGCTGGTAGAAGATAACAATGGGGGCTGATTGCCTCAGGTCCTTGGTAACCAAGGAACAACTGCTTATTTTTTATGATATATGGGATCAGTATCCCAAGGGGAAGGGTGTTTCCTTTCAGTTCATACACACTGGGCCAACACCAGTTGACATCCAAGAAAACTCTAACATTTCATAACATTTCTGAAAGTTCATTTTCTGATATGAAATGTTAACTTTATTTTCAATAGTTAACTGACTGAAAATAAAAAGCAAGCTGTTGGTTAGCATATCTGGATGTTGATTATGGTGAGCCCGACTCCTCCATTCCCTCAGCCATGGAGAAATACATCTTGTGAAAAGAGGTCACTGTTTAGTGACCTTTGGTTGAAGACTTCACTTTTGTAAAAGTTAAATAAAGCAGCTGAATGCGTATATTTGCCATGAAAATAAATGTCACGCGTTCCTGATTCCTTTTGCGCACACAACCTTATGGCACTAAACCCAAAAAATAGTATTTAATCTTATGGTGCTTTATCTTTTTGTGTCTGTCTGGTTGCTCCTTGAGACTTTTTTTTTTTTATCGTGTTCCCAGAGAGAAACATCTTTTCCCAGTAGGCATAGCTTGAGTGGTCTTTTTTTTCCCCCTCTCATACTTTGAACTTCTAATGCACTGATGAGTTTGCTTTACTGTTATGAATCTGATTCACTTACCCACCAGCAACATCTAGCTTTGGTTATGAGATCAATACTCAGTGAGATTAATTAGATGTCGACAAGTAAGGAACAGCAAAGATGGAGGCTATTTAAAGAGGAATAAGTTAATAACAAGGGTATGCCTGCTGCTCTTTTGTCCACCACGTTGAGCTATTTGCTCAGAATTATTTCAGGCAAAAAGCTGGAGTCATGGCTTATCCGAGTGTAATTGCCTCTGAAATGGCATGTCAGGTTTGGTCAACCTAATCATTAAGTGCATTTTTTTTTTTATAGTGAAGTGGTACAGAGAAGACTAACTTTTATATCAGTTGGTTAATGTTGCCAATTTTATAAACTGCTCACACCTTTGGGATGAAATTTAAAAAGAAGTGTGGAATCTCTATTCTGATTGTTTTTGAAGGACCGTGGGTGGCAGACCTTTTTTTACTGACTGAGTGATTGTTTGGTGTAACTTTTTGCCTGTGGTGCTTGCAATTTTGTTCCCGAAACTTCTTTGGGAAGCACTGGCTGATTCTCTCCTCACTGGAATAACTCTTTCCAACCAAATGGCACTGTGTGATATAAAATAGACATCAGTATAAATGAAGGAAAGCTGAAACCCATGTTTTTTTTATTCTGAGCTTTTTGCAGTATAGTATAGAACTAACGTGGTTCAGCTTTGGAGCACATTGGCATAATTTCTGTGTAGCACTAATTGTTAGTTATCACTGGAGTCACATGCATTCATCCCAGTTCTTTGTATATTTTGTAATGTGCTAAACCACTGATCCATCTTGTTTGTGGACTTATTTTTAAGGGGGTCAGAAAGAGGTAATACCTTGTAACACATTTCTTTTCCGGATGATAACCAGAGGCTGGAGAGAAGATGTGATAGAACAAAAAGAAGTGATAGGTAAAAATGCTACCCAGGAATTTTTTTCTGTGGTTTGTCTTTCCCCTGCCTTTTGTGAGGAAGTAAAGATGTTTAAAAACTGAAACACAAGTAATTATAGCATTGGTTTTGTCTTACTCTTTAGAGGTGCAGAGAGGAGAACAATTTGATATGTTAAGTACGATAGAATATTTCACAAGGAGAATTTCTGAACTTGTAATAGTGCACACTGACATTGTGTCCTTTTTCTGTACTTACATAATGACTACCTAATCAGTTGAATTACAGTGGTTTTGTTTCCCACTTAATAGCAAGAATTATATTTTAGGATGTGACAGATCTTTCTGGGGGTTTTTATCACTTAGTTCCTCATCGAGGGAATTTGATGTTTGCAATATCCTTATCAGTAGAAAAAGACCCTGATAATAATGAAATTAAATAGTCTGAGGGAATTTTTGAATAGCAATATGCACATTGCTGAGCTCTGAATCTTGTCTTCTAAAGTGAGGAAAAAGGCATCCAATTCCACTGTAATAGTAGGCCTTTCTTTATAATAAAGAAGGGGAAACCATGGTGAGAAGATGGATGGATGGTTGGTTGTGCAAAGTCAGCCACGAGGAATTTCTCTTTCCTTCGAACTTATGACTAACCATATTTGCCTGATCGATGCCACCAAATCCTTTCCTTATCTTAGGTGAACTGGGCAGTAAAGTCAAGTGCAGACATTTAGGAAGGCAGATTTAAAGCTCTGGCAATTAGAGGAGCAGAAGAAAACCTACGACCCGAAGACCTTTGATGGCTGACATAGCAGCAGTATCTGCTCAAGCCACAACTAAACAATTTCAGCGGCAGGGCTTCTGAAGTCATTCACTTCTGGTGTTAAATATATCTGATATGCAATACCAGCATGCTTTTCAGTGAAGCTGTGGATTCTCCTATGCTTTATATCCTACTTTCCTGCTGGCTGACCATCAGATATGGAAATGGATCATTTTTAACAGTTAAGCATATTTTCCATACCCTACTACAGCCAGCCTTTGATAGGAAATGAAACTGCAAAGTGATGATTATAAGAGGCATTCATCTCAGTTCAGTTAAATTATAAAGAACATTAGGACCAGGTGAGGTAGAGTAGCATCCTCTACTGATTAGTGAAAGGATGTTTGGGGCATTAACCTTTATAAATTATGGTGACCTTTCTTAGAGGGATAATAACTAGATAAAGGGGAAGAGGCATATGTGACGGGGAGGAACTGAAATTTCTGGTACCCGTTGTTGTTTCACTGATATGTCTCTTTACAGATGAAACTCTAGCATTGAAAAATGATATCTTGACTATGTTTGCAAGGGGAAAGTATTTGCCAAGTGGCTGTAAAGGATCCTCTCTTTTTCTTCCCCCTTCTGCTAAGCCTCAGAAGAGGAAGGGGGAAAACCTTTCCAGTGTCCGATCTGTGGTTTGGTTATCAAGAGGAAGAGTTACTGGAAACGGCACATGGTGATTCACACAGGTTTGAAGAGTCATCAGTGCCCACTCTGTCCATTTCGCTGTGCACGCAAGGACAATCTCAAGTCACACATGAAGGTAAGAGAAGTGTTTTCTGACAACCAAAGTACTCGAAACATCAGTCAAGAAATGATGGTATAACAAACCTATTTCATTTGCATTTACAAGAACAAAATTTCCTTAGTTGTACTGTGAATGATGCCTTTCTTTAAGCAAAGAGGCCATAAAAAGATAAAGAAATAACTTTTATTCCCATGCTTGCCTTTCCGTTTTATGCAGTGTGGAAAACTGCCTTGGGTTATGTCAACTTGGTGCAGCACAAGCTGTCTGTGACTGACTCACTTCTGGACCTGGAACCACCAGATGCAGGGGTGTTGGGTTGGGATGTGGCACGCAATCACATCAGTGCTGCTTTTCAGGATGCCAGCTAGTAACTCTGCGTGCCATTGCATCACACTAAGTGGGCAAACCAACTTGGCCAGCTCTAACAGAAAGCTCCAGTGCTTTCTACAGACAGGCCTGCAGTATTAACTTTTTTCTTGTTGTGGATTTTAACTGCGGGCAGCTCAGCAGTGAATCATCTGAACCAAAATGAATGGCAGATTATTCTGTAATGTTTTGTTTTCAAGTGTTTCCATTAAGTTTAGAGTGTGCTCTTAACTCAGCCTAAGTTTCAGGCTCGAACTGAAGATGACCTCTTGAAGGAATCTCTATCTGTATTGATACAGAAAAATATAAAAATGTAAAGAAACTTGGTGTCTGCTTAGCTGAAGTACTACATGGTTGCAACATAAAGAATGCCAGGTCTTGCAAGCCGTATAATATGCTTGATGAAGTAAAAATGATGCCTGTCCTATTAGCCCTTCAATGAAGAAGCTGAAGTTCAAAAAAGTTTTCCTTGTTAATGAAGTCGAGTTTTATAGTAATAGTAAAATGGTTTATTATAATTAGCATTTTATCTGTTTTAGACAAATGTGTGTAACAGACTGGTGTGAAGGGGGACAGAAATGCCTGTGCAGGTTTCTTAGATGCTATTGCAGAATCTGAGCTCACTAGAGAGGAGTCTGACCTTCCTTATACTCAAGTAACTATTCACTTCAGTTTAAGTTATTCAGATTCCACTGATCACAAACAGCAGATCTTGCCGTGGTTTAGGTCATTGCTGGGTCTGAAATCATCCCCCTAAAGTCTGAAGGCTCATTCCTTAACACTTTAACTGCGAATCAGTGCACTACTCCCAGGCATCCTTGGTGTATCATGCTAATCCTTGTCAAGTAGGCTTGGTGTTTATGGCTCTTTCTTTTAGGACTTGGTGTTCTGTGTTGACTAGAGGGCACAGATGGCCATCCTAAGTAGAAGATGAATGGATAGAATGGGAACACAGCATGAAAAGAAACTGTTTTGGTTTGGGGTTTTTTGTTGTTGTTGTTGTTTTGGGGTTTTTTTATTGTTTTCAGCTGTTGACAGCCTGCACAAAAGCATGCATCACCTACAAGCTTGCTATTCCCTGCCAAAGACCTGTTGTTTTCCCCTGCTTTGTAAAGGACATCCCTATTATTCCCTGCAGAGATACAGGTACTTGTTCTCTGCTTTCTTTTGCCTTTTTGGCAAAAATTGTTTGCAGATTGAGGGCCTGTCCCTTCCTTTATGGCATGGTGATTTCCACAGGTGGTCACTGGTAGGACGTTGGAGAAAATTGGGGACTTTTTCAGTGTCTCTGTGTGCTGTCAGATTGGTGGCTCTCTGAGGCCTTTGTGCTTCTTTCTGCTCCCCTCCCAGCATTAATCCTTTCATTAACTGAGCCTGCATCAGCTTAAACCAGACCTCATTGTACAGCCATGTAACATGTAGTGTTAATTATTTGGTAATATGGAAATTATGACCAAATAGTGCTCAGTTAGAAAACACTGACGTCAGAGACAGGCCCAGAGCTGCTTGACTCAATGTAAGAGATTACAGCCTCCTTTAGCCTTACTGTGAAGGCAATATCTGAAGTCTCCTCAGTCAATGCAGTCCAGTCATGCAGGTCATGATGGAGTTGGGGGTCTTTTTCTGGTAAAACTGCTCCCTATTTGAGATGAAAGTAATTGTCTATAAAAACTATGTGGTCTGCATTTTCATTTTGTCCTTGTTATAGTCTCATGGATAGATGTAAAGAATCACAAGGACAACAGTCTGAAAGTTTATGTTTCACCTTAATGTCAATCAGTTTCCTACATACTTTCTCAATTGACTAGGCCATTTGTAAAAATATTTTCTATCACATCAAAATTGAAACAGGTGAATGAGGTAAGGGCGTGTTAGTCATGTGTCCAAAAGTACCAGACATAATTTGAGGGTTTTTTGGTGGAAGTATAAATAATTGATAACCAAATTAAAAATAAAAAGTACCAGATTTCTTTTCTCATTATAAAACAGTGCTCCTTTTGAATCTGTCTGTATATGAGATGATAATACCTGGCGCATATATAAGCCAACAGCGTTCAAAATGGAATGAATACACATCAGAAATGGTACAGCACAACTGGGAGCTACTTAGGATGCAGTGTTCTGATTATGCCAGTAGGTTGTTTCAGTTGTCTTCATTGTCTTACTATCCTTTGGGAACCACCTGGCCTATCTCCTTCCTGGCAGGCAACTTGTGAAGGCAGAGCTGCTTCCAGCTCTCCAGCCCTGTCTCCCTCCCCATGAGGCAACTGTGGCTACAAGTGAAGACACATTTTTCAAAACTAAAAATGCTACTCAAAATTAAGGTGCCAGGTTGGTGTTTGTTGTTCACTATAAGCCAATTTTTTTATTCCAGAATGCTATCACAAATCAAGCTTTTTTCCTTTAGTGCTGCTCTTCAGTTTTCAGGTTTTATGCTCTATTGATAAAGGATGACAGGCAAAACCTGTTGAGGTGTTCTGTCCAGCTGCAGTCCTCAAAAAAAAATCTAGTTATCTTATCTATCTTTCTTCCTAGGCAGCATAGGCAAGGGTTTGAACCACCTCATGTTTTTTCTAGGTTCTTCTTAGGTATTCTCCTTGAAACTGATTATTCAGTGATTTAATTTCCATGAGTGGTTTGTGCGAGTCCATATGGGCCTTCCTTACTGTCTGTATCTTTAGGTTAATGACAATAGCTACATAATATAAATACTGTGTAATTTCATGGTAATTATAACATGTCTAACTGACTGACCCAGAATACAACGTTGCCAATGTTTTTGGTGTCTTGTCACCTGCTATAGAGAAAATCTTAATAGAGAGCTGGAATGATTCCAGCCCTGACCCGTATTTGGATCTACATGTGCTACCCACCACGCTGATGGAGCATTCTTCCAGCAGGGGCACTTTGCCAGGACCAACTCACAACTGGAGGCGAGGAAGTGAAAGGCACAAGAAGGGAAACAGAAGGAAGGTTTCCACACAGACACACAAGGAACAAGGGCGGCTGAGTAGCCTGCCTTTTAAGGCACGCAGTGTTATCTGTAATTGTCATGTTGTGTTTAGATTCCACTGTGATAGGCACCTTAGAAAAATCCTAAAATAGACACAGTACAGAATTTTATTAGTCTGTTTTGGAGGCAAATTACAGTGCACGCATAACCACAAGTTCTGACCCTTTTTCCCAGGAATCTGAGGGGAGCATCTCAGGACCCAATTCTGGTATCATAGTGTGGTTTCCAGGGATTCTGAGAATACTGAACTGAAAATGAAGCTGGAAAAAATGAATGGTTAACTCAGAGAGGTGTCTTGTCCAAGCAGGCCACAAGTATTGTACTTGAGTTCTTCTCTCTGTTTATCTAAATATATATTCAGTTGGAATATGTTTTCTTCTTGAGAGAGTATCTTTTGGACTTTTTCTGCAGAAAGCAATGGAAAGTTGTGGTATAGTTCAGCGAGATGTGTTCAGGCTTTTCTGTTTTTCCTGGTAGGGATTAAATTCACCTCAGAGCAATACCGCAAGCATCAGTCAGACTTTGGCCAGTTTGTGTCTTTGGATCATGCACATATCTTCCTCAGCAATTGGTGGACAGATAGGCTGTGAGATCATACAGATATGTTCCAAGAAAGCAACAGGATATTAGCCTGAGCACTTGGAAGGGGGAATGAGGAAGAGGAGCATATGGCCAAAACCAATATCTATAAATGTTCCTTGTGCTGCTATATAGACCTAAGGCAGAAATGGGTGAGCTAGCCCTTCTAGCAGAGGAAAAGAAGTTTAGCATTGTGGACACATTCTGAAACATGATGGTATGACAGCAAACGAGGAAAGAGAAGATGAAGCTTAGCAGAAAAGTTAGATGCAGTGGTAGGCAGGTCATGTGATGCTCAACCACAGGATTTTCCTGCATTTGTTGCTTATGAAGAGGGACCATGTGGTGAGGTCTCAGATTGATGCTCCTGTGTAATATGAAGAGGGTTATAATCAACTTCTCAGTTGGGAATCAGGAAAGGCCCTGAAGAATGTAGCCAGGTGCTCACTGCCCCTTTGTGATTTGTAGGTGCTCACTGCCCCTTTTCCCCTTTTTGTTCCTCAGCTAGTGTCAGACAACTGAATAAGCATTCCTAATCCATTTTTGTGAAGTATAGGACAAGTTATTTTAAAGCATCTTCACCATATTGGGAGAGGAAGTTGACTGTGTTTTATGAGTGCTTTTTTAGTTTGATTTAAGTTACGCTCAAAGAGCCCTGGGAGCCACCTGTGATTCCATCAGCTGAGGGGAGGCAATACAAACTTGCACAGCTTTTCAACATGTTAAATCTTTGCCCAGAGTCTCAGACAGGTGCCAAAAGTGACTTCAAGTATTTCCTTTTTAATCTTGTTACTTTTTGCATATGAGAAAAGGATAAGGCAGGATATGCATTGATAACTTAAATCTCTAAGGAAAAAAAATACTGTTTTTTGAACACCTAGTCCAGTCTAGCACTGCAGAGAGGCTTTTTTTTCCCTCCCCTTTGCTTTCAAGCGAAGCAAAGAAGTAGTTTCAAAAAGAAAATACTATATAAATAACATATGTGTCCTGAGGGGAAGGATCATATCAAAACTAACACCATACGTAGCACTAAACTTTTGAAAATACAATACTTTAA